CAGCGTGGCAGGGGGGACAAATCCCCATGGGTCCTTATCCGTGCTGGGGCCAGCCAGGCATCCCATCAGGCTTTGCAAGGGGGCAGTGGGAGCACCCATTGGCACCTCCCAGGCATCAGGTGTTGTGCCAGGCTCCATTGAGGGAGGGGGCTGGCAGCACAAGGCACCTACCCCAAGGGCTTGGTGGTGGGTGGAGCCTGGGCTTGGTTGCCCCTAGGCTCCTAAGGGGGGGGGCACGTGGGACAGGTGGGTGAGAGCTGCCCTGGTGGCATCGGTGCCCTCTGTCTCTCCCCAGTGCGACGTGGCTGGTGTGAGCCCCCCCGAGCCTAGTGCCGGGGCCTGGACCTGCCTGGGCAGCCCCAAGGAGATGGGGGGCACCCACTGGGTGGGGGCAGGGCTGGCACTGATGGTGCCATGTCCCCACAGGACCCGTCGTTATACACGGTGAAGGCCATCCTCATCCTGGACAATGACGGCGACCGGCTCTTTGCCAAGGTGAGCATGGGGCGGCTGTGCCAGGGACTGAGGGAAGGTGCCCAAGGGTGGTGGAGGCTAGGGGCGCCTGTGCCGGGGAGGGACACGGGCTGCACCTAGGACCTGGCTCCTTTGCAGAGCAGAGGCTGCTGTGCCCACTTGGGGGAGGGAAGTTAAGTGCCCACGGCTTCTGCGGCAGCCCCAGCAATAGCGGGTGCTCCCGGCCCCTGGGCTCCTGCCCAAGGGCAGGTGCGGGGTGCTCCAGGGGGCCGGGCTGTGCTGGGTGGGTGCAGTGCCAGGCTGACGCCGGTGCCCCCTCGCCCCCAGTACTACGATGACACCTACCCCAGCGTCAAGGAGCAGAAGGCCTTTGAGAAGAACATCTTCAACAAGACCCACCGGACAGACAGTACGGCCTGGTCGGGGGGGCACTGCCTCAAGGGTGGGAGGGGGCACTGGAGGGCACGGGCCGGGCTGTGCTGGGTGGGTGCAGTGCCAGGCTGACGCCGGTGCCCCCTCGCCCCCAGTACTACGATGACACCTACCCCAGCGTCAAGGAGCAGAAGGCCTTTGAGAAGAACATCTTCAACAAGACCCACCGGACAGACAGTACGGCCTGGTCGGGGGGGCACTGCCTCAAGGGTGGGAGGGGGCACTGGAGGGCACTGCCAAGGCTGGTGCCTGGCAGCAGAGGGGGTTGGGGGTGACCGGAGCCCCTGGCCTGGGCCCCACCCCCCAGGCCCAGTGCGGGGCGTCTACAGGCGGCGTCCGGCCCCCTGTTACCACCCCCCCCCCCGG